ATCAAGCAGCTATTACCCTACATTGAAAAAATATATCCTTGAATATTCTGTTTTTGCAAGTATGCATCTAGTTGCTGATTGAACATCTGTACAAACTCTGATAAAACCACTTCTTCAGGCAGAGAATTCTGCATCCTTATTGTTCTAACAGTAAAAACACATTTTCTTTGCCTAAGACAAAATCATCTTTCTTCCAGTCTAAACGCATGACCTCGTGTCCTATGCAATGTCCAGCTTGTGAATAGATTTCCATTGGTCTTGAGTACATTACTACTATTTATTATAGATTATTATCTAATCTATCTATCTATCTATCTATCTATCATCTATCATCTATCTATCTATCTGTAACGGAACTGGTGGCACCCCAACCAGGTACCTTCCGCTGACGGATGCTCCTTGTGCTTTCCGAGGGCTTCAAGCACTCCAACTGACACCATAACCACCGCAGACCCCACAAAACCCTGCAGCTTGGTTGGGGTCTCGCCGTCTTCCTCCTACTCTGGGCCCAAGACCAGGGACCAGCTACCAGTAGGCCGACCTCTCAGAATTCCAGAGAGCAGGAACAGGAACAAGCTCTTAGCAGAGCTTAGTGATTATACCCTGGGGAGTATAGTGATTGTAGCAATCCACACAGTGTAATTCTCCAATCCCCCAAATATGAGCCGAAACTTCATGAAGGTACAAGATGATCTGTTTAATCAGCACCAAAGGGCTTTCTTTTATGCAAGTTTTTACACAGAGTTCCCACCCGCATGGTCTTGTGGAACAGCCAATCAGCAACGTACAATACAGTTAAACACTCACATTTATTCCAGCAAAATCCTCCCCTCAGGAAAATACACAGTTTTACACAATATTCATAACTTTAAAAGTATGCATCACATTCACATAAATTACATATTCAAAATCAGCATACTCCAAATACAAACATATGTCAAAATCATACAAATTGGTCCAGTGGTTCAAAAGATAGATGGACTTCCTATTTGACCGACTGCAAGCATGGCTTGGGTGTGGTAAGCCAATTATCTCCAGCATACAGAAAACATCTCTATTCACAACAACAGCAAAAATACACAAATATACATAATTTCTATCATACTGAACAGAACCCCCACATTCAACCTATCCCCAGATAGCTTGGATTTGAGCGCCCAATATAGGTGAACAGCGCTCAGATCCCACGAACACAGTCCAATCGCCATGGGGTTAAAGTTTAGCATGGGCTGATGAGAAGTTGAGGAGGGACAAAGCAGCTAGTTTAAACTGGTCTGGCAGTGTCCCTGGGACAACGCCCTGTTGGAGAACAATGGACAGGAAAATGGGGGAGGGGAAGAGACACACCTTCCCATGGATTCAAAGGGCAGAAAAAGTTTCCCAAAATCCAAGAAGCCCAAATAATGTTTGTAAAGGGCCATACAACCCAGGGCCAAAATCATAAGGTAGGAGGCTGGCAATCAGGCTCCTCCAACAGTCAGGGGAAAAAGGCAGTTTGGCACATAACAATCCAGTGACAAAAGGCAGTTTGCCACACTATCTATCTCATGTGATTTAACAAGCAAGTACCATCCCTAGAGTCCATATATATTGTGTACAATAATACAGACTTCATCATAAGACATAAGAGAATTTATAGATTCTATTTTGTAATTTGGAGTTCAGTTCTTAGCACCAGACAAAGTGCAAAGTAATAGAGAAGAAACTTTTTTGGGGGTTAGAATCAGCTTAGTTTGCCCAATCATTTGGGCTGTATCTCTTATTTAACCCCTTAAGGACTGAGCCAAATGTACACGTTGTGAACGAAACAAAATGTAAACAAAACCTGGCATTTGCGCTACATGTCTGTCCAACCGTAATTCACCTCTTTCATATTAAATGCACCCACCCTTATTATATATTTTTTTAGTTCTACATGACATTTTAACTGTCAATGTCATAATACTGATTGCTTTTACTGCAATAAAATACACATATTTGTATTCAGCAAAGTCTCACGTGTAAAACAGTACCCCCTATGTACAGGTTTTATGGCGTTTTGGGAAGTTACAGGGTCAAATATAGCATGTTACATTTGAAATTGAAATTCGCCAGATTGGTTACGTTGCCTTTGGGATTTTATAGTAGCCCAGGAATGAAATTTACACCCATAATGGCATACCATTTGCAATAGTAGACAACCCAAGGTATTGCAAATGGGGTATGTCCAGTCTTTTTTAGTAGCCATTTGGTCACAAACACTGGCCAAAGTTAGCGTTAGTATTTGTTTGTGTGAAAAATGCAAAAAAACCGCAATTTTGGCCAGTGTTTGTGACTAAGTGGCTACTAAAAAAGACTGGACATACCCCGTTTGCAATACCTTGGGTTGTCTACTATTGCAAATGGTATGCCATCATAGGGGTAATTTTCATTCTTGGGCTACCATAGGGTCTCAAAGGCAACGTAACCAATCTGGCGAATTTTAATGTGAAAAAAATGAAACACAAGCCTTATATTTGACGCTGTAACTTTTGAAAACACCATAAAACCTGTACATGAGGGGTACTGTTGTACTCGGGAGGCTTCGCTGAACACAAATATTTGTGTTTCAAAACAGTAAAAAGTATCGCAGCAATAATATCGTCCGTGTAAGTGCTGTTTGTGAGGGAAAAATGCAAAAAACGGCACTTTTACTGGCGATATCATCATTGTAATACATTTTACTTTTTTGAAACACTAATATTTGTGTTCAGCGAAGTCTCCCGAGTAGAACAGTACCCCCCCATGTACAGGTTTTATGGTGTCTTGGAAAGTTATAGGGTTAAATACAGTGCTAGCAAATTAAACTCCCTTTACTTTCGGCATGGGTTGTCAGGCAGGTCCTGCTAATTGTAATTAATTAAGATACCTAATTATGTAAAAATATTACATAAATAAATATGTAGAATTAATATATGTATATATATACGTATGTGAATCTATATGTGTATATATATATATATATTTTTTTTAAATATTTTTATTTATATATAGGTATATATATAGTGATGTATACGTATATATTTATGTATGTAGATATATATATATTATTTCGTTCTATGTGTATTTTGATATAAATATATATATATATTAATATCACAATACAGTTAGAACAAAATAACACACATCTATATATTTTTTAATTATTTTTTTTAATTATTTTTTTAATTTTATTTTTTAATGTATTTACATATTGAATTTTTTAATATTATATATAAATATATATATAACAATAAGTATATATATATATTTAATCAGTTTCAGTCTACGTGTAATTTGATATTAATATATATAAATTATATATATATTAATAGTAAAATACACCTAGACAGTATATGTATGTGTATGTATATGTACATGATCTAAGTATAATTTTTTTTTTTTTACACTTATTAATTTTATTTTAATTTTATTTCTAGCCAGCAGGGGGACCACCTGTAATTACAGGCAGCCCCCCTGCTGGAAATACAGAAGCCAGCTATCCCGGCCATGTGGTTGTGAGGTCCTCGCAAGGACCTCACTCTCACATGGCCGGGGGGCACCGGAGAAGGAGGATCTGCTGCAGGGGGGCTCCCTGGGAGTCCCCCCCACCGCGATCGCCGGCGTGGGACCGCCGGTGACTGGGTAAGTAAGGAAAGACCGGAGGGCGTACAATTATGCCCGGCAGCGTTTAGAGCCGCCTAAAATAGGGTGTAATTGTACGCCCTCCAGTCTTAAGGGGTTAATCAACATTATACATAGAGTTCTGAACACAAGTGAAACATATGTTGGGAGTTCAAAAATAGCTAATAATCGAAGTCCAAAGCTATTACAATGTAGGGTGCAAACGAAAAGATTTATTCTGGATCAAAAGGACAAAAACAATGTTTCAGCCATAAGGCCCTAATCATGTATACAGAGCATAGGTGAACAAAGCATATATATACCTTAGCAAAAATCCGCCCAACAACTGTCATAATCACAATGATGTCACCAATCAGTAAATCACTTCCGGGAGTAACCTGAAGTAACCGTGGAAAGCAATAACAAAAGGCTTCAGTTCTAAATGGAGAAGATAAAGATTGGTAAAGAAAAGGCAGTCACATAATATACATAATATATAGATAATTGGGGATTGAGAGGGTCGGTAATCAGGCAGTGCACATAAAAAAAAACCGCCGAGAGGAATGGACGTCTGAGCCCTTTGCTCCGGCACATCGGGTCGACAATCCGGCGCAATCCTAGTAAATAGGGCAGTGGATTGATCTGAAAAGCTCCGAGATGACACACCAGAGGGGTAAGAAAGCCACCCTTAAACCGGACAACCTCAACTTTTTCGGAAATAAACAGCATCTCGAACAGGAAGAGCAGGCCCTGTCCCAAGATGGCAGTTTTAGCTCTGGTGAACCTGCATATGGTGTTGCTGCAACAGACCCAGACGCAGACAAATTAACCAGAACTCACTTCCAAGAAGCCCTGGACTCTCTGTCCAATAAATTAATTGCCTCTTGGCAACATACAGCAGATGCACTAAGGAAGGACATTCAAGAGCTTGGTAAGTGCACCTCCCACGTGAAGAACAAACTATCAGATTTCGCTACTGCGCATAATGATTTAGCCTCCCACGTTGAATCTCTGGAACATAAAATTCTATTGATGGAAAATAAAATCACTGATCTGGAAGATCGGACACGCAGAAACAATCTACGCATTCGGGGCATACCTGAGGATATAGCGCCAGATAATCTACAAGTGCATATTAGGGGCATATTCCAAGCACTAGCCCCGGACATACCAACTGACATGCTACTCCTTGATCAAGTGCATCGCCTACCTAGACCAAGGTTCCTACCCGAAACTGCTCCGAGAGATGTATTATTGCGTATGCATTACTACCATATAAAAGATCTTCTCCTCAAAACGTGCAAACGCAGGTTTACACCTTTGGAAAATTACCCACAAATTAACATTTTTGCTGACCTCTCCGCGGCTACTCTCGGCAGGAGGAAGGAATTTTCCCAAGTCATCAACACCCTACGAGCCCATGGTCTCCGCTTTCGATGGGGCTTCCCTACCAAAGTTATTGTGACCAAAGATAACACCACCCAAGTGATAACGTCGCCAGAAGACGGTCTTCGGAAATTACAAGCCTGGGGCTTTTCGGATCAAGATGCGGAACGCACCACTTCGCCTTCAAAACGGATCCAATTGGACTGGCATAAAGCATAAACCATAGCAGCAGACAGTAGAACTGCAAGTATAACTTTACATGTTCAAAGAAACAAAAAAACAAAAAAATGGGCACACTAAATAAAAGTCTGACGAAGGACATCACTGTACTCCTAAGGCCTTAGTTGTTGTGGCATACCCTTTTCAAGTGTTATCACATTGCTATGTTTGCATTATCTCCTAAGCCTTGCACCCTTTTTGAAACGAGGTAATAGGATGCGATGTTGTTGGCTAAAAATTACTGTTGAAAAGATATCAGAGACGCAAATTTATGTCTATCATATGAACATAAAGTTCTCTCCATGGGTTGGAGACTCTCACTCACAATACCCCTAGTGGGCTAAATAATGTGGGGCTGATCCTATGCTTTCTCAACATCCCAAATACTGAAAGCAGGGACATAGCCTCTGACAGGCCCTAGATTGGTATACATGGATTTTACAATGCTAACCTAGACCAAAAGCCCTCAACTCCTTATATTTGAATATACCTCAGTTTCATTGATTATATATATATATATATAAAAAAAAAAAGTTAGGTTTTGGTATGTTGTAACAGCAAGCCTATTTCAAAGAAAAAGGATAGTATCGCTAACGTGCCTTGAAAAGACTTAGTTTATGTGATAAAATTATGTTCGACTTTTCTCTATTAGACACTATTGTACTATCTGTGGCCCCCTTGTCCTGTGTCCCTCAGGGGAAGGGGCAGGGGGAAGCTTTGTTTATGTTTTTTCAATGTCAATGTTCATAATATCTCAGGGGTGCGAGCTGCGCGTGCCCTATGGGTATCAGTACTTCTTCATGAATGGGGATACCCAGCCCACAACATAAATATTAATGGGACTAAAGCGGAGACAACCCCAGAGCTCTTGGGGTACAGCAGCTACCCAAATGGAGGAACTACTTAACAATAGAATCCAATTTGCATTCCTCTCTTGCTCCTTGGTAATAGCGCAAGGTGCTAATAGCGTGCCTGACCTATGGCTCTGGGTAAGAAACCAATCCCCTAGCCTCTCCATACCCGTTAATCTTACATGCTCACATAACGGGAGGAAGGGGTTCACAGAACCAATACATTAGACTATAGTGGTGTAGTATCACCCAAGTGTCTGAGCTCTCGGGCACGCGCGGCTCTGTATGCCTGCTGAAGGAATCTACATTACATTAGAGGAATATATCTTAAGTCTATACATCACCAATACTCACCTCTTCCTTTAGAAAGATATACATGTAAAACCTCGGTATAAATGGTAGGATATGCTTTCACTATAGATCAATATAGATAGACCGTCCTATTAGTTATTAAAGAACATGGTAGACCCGAAACCGAACCACGCCACGGAAACAGGAATGTCTCCCTCCCCCAAGGTACTGCCTATAAGTACCAGATTACATTTATGTATATACTTTATTTTAGTTCACCCCAGTTTTTTCTACCCTATGAACCCATCCTCGGCCACGGAGGGCCACCCATGCGATTCTTACCACTCGGGCTCCCCACATACAAAACTATCCTTAAGGTACTACAGATCAGGTACATTATCAATGTACAACTTAATAAAACAGCACTATGAAAATTTACTCACATAATGTTCGGGGGTTGAATACTCCACATAAGCGTAGATATCTCCTAGACAGTATTAGACACAATAAAGTCGATATTGAGTGCTTGCAGGAAACATATTTTGTACATGGGAAAGTGCCAGGGTTTGGGATACAAGATTATCCAACACAGTATCATGCAACTTATTCCTCCAAAACTAGAGGAGTGTCACTCTTATTCCACAAAAGTCTTACTTTTGAGTTGCTACATATCAAAAAAGATGTGCAAGGTCGGTACCTAATAATTAATTGCTGAATTAATAATGTCATATACGCATTAGTAGTCCTATATGGTCCTAATTCCAATCAGAGGAATTTTTTGCATAAAGTACTGAACAAGCTATCACTCTCAAACTTAACCTCCCTTATTATATGTGGAGACATGAATCATGTCTTACATCCATACATGGATACAACTATTTCCCCTTCGGCCCCTAGATTTAGATCTTTGATACCTCAATGTAAAGCTATTACTAAACTTCTGTTAGACAATGACTTATTTGATATATGGCGGACAAAATACCCAAACGAGAAAAATTATACCTTCCATTCTAAAGTGCATGGAACTCATTCCAGAATAGATGTTATCTTGGTATCTAGAGATTTGCTCCCCTCGGCTGTACGGTGCTCTATAGATGATATAGTGTGGTCGGACCACGCCCCAGTAACCCTCATAACTCAAGACTCTTATAAACATAGAGGGAAAGCCCCATGACGACTAAATAACATCCTCTTACATGATGAGGCCTTTAAAAATAAATTGCAAACTGAGATAATTGAATACTTTAAACTAAACAACCGATCGGACACAAGACCTACTTTAGTTTGGCAGACCCACAAAGCAGTTATTAGAGGGCAGCTCATTAGTAGAGCGGCCTATCTTAAGCGTACTTCCCAGCAGCACCACCTCACATTACTAACCAAATTACGAGACCTTAAGTTAGCTCAAGTTTTACATCCTAGAACGGACTTTAGAAAGGAAATTGAGCTTATCAAAAAACAATTAAATGATCTCCTACTTCAGCAAACAGTGCGCATGATGCAAACACTTAAATTGAAAACCTACACACAGGGAAATAAAGCGGGGAAAAAATTAGTATCGTTATTGAGACATCAACTGACACAATCAAAGATCCCATATTTACTTACTATGACTGGTGAGAAAATATACAATCCATTAGATATTAATGCAGAAACTGCAGCTTACTATCAAACTCTTTATAATTTAAAGGATGATCTGTTAACGCACCAACCCTCACAGGCAGAAATCAATAAATTTCTAAGCCAGACTCAATTAAACAAATTGACACGGGACCAAAAAGATTTTTTAAATGAACCCATCACACTGATGGAGCTACAACAAACAATTCGCACACTTCCCTCGGGGAAGTCACCGGGGCCGGATGGCTTTACAAATGAGTATTACAAAGGATGCCTTGAGGTCCTAGGGCCTCACCTAGTGGATACACTAAACCATATAATACAAACAGGGGAGATGCCGGCTGAGATGCTCTTGGCACACATTGTCACCTTACCCAAACCCGGGAAACCACCCAATCAACCCAAAAACTTAAGACCCATTTCGTTGTTAAATACTGACACTAAAATTTTAGCCAAAATTTATGCGAACCGAGTGTCAACTCACCTGCCGTCTCTTATACATCCGGATCAGGTAGGATTCATGAAGGGTCGACAAGGGGCTGATGGCACCAGAAAACTATACAATCTTTTTTACAATCGGTGGCCTTCTGGCGAACCTAGGTTCTTTATGTCCCTGGACGCCGAGAAAGCTTTCGACAGTATAAATTGGAATTTCTTAAAGAGCGTACTACAAAAGTTTGACTTTCCGCAATCCTTTCTGTCCCTGATCTCTGCAATGTATTCCAGGCCCTCGGCGAAAATCGTGAATGGAGGATTTGTCTCTGTGGCGAATCCGGCCTCGCCACGTGTCCTTGGAGGGGGCTGCTTGCCCGCCTCTTGCCTTTGTACTATGGACCAGACTTTATGTGAATGGGTTAACCCAGATAGCTATGCCATGGAGCCCATTCGTGTAGTTAAAGACTTCGGCTCCATGGCAATTGAACTGTGTGAATAGGATCTGAGCGCTATTTGGTAGTTTTGTGCGCTCAGATCCCAGCTATCTGGGGATATGTGAAATGTCTGTGTCTTATGTGTAAAAGGTGACTTTATGTATTTTAAAGTGTTTTGTGTCTTTTTGCAACCATGTGCTTAATGGAGTCTTGTGTCTGTCCTGGGAGATAATTGAATTACTCTCCAGGATAGAAGACTCTGAAACTGGTTTGGGCCAGAAAGCCATGCTTCATTTAGTCACAAAGGACTTTCCCTTAACTTTTGAACCCCTGGTCTGATTCGCGCCATTTTTTAATATGTTGTTCCCCTGAATGGATTGATTATGAAAATGTATGTTTTATGTTTGTGACATTTATATTTTAGAACTTATAAATATTGTGTAAAAACTGTATTCCTCTGCCGGTGATAATGAGATTACCCATTGTGTTCAGTAATCATATCACATGCAGAGGGGAGGATTTTGTGTGGGAGTGTCTGGGTGTATTGTACGGATTGATTGGTTGTTTTGTAACGCCCTGTGGGCTGTACTATGTTTGTGGATTGGGAATAAAAGAGACTGTATGTGACAGTACAGGGAGTTCCTGTTTTAACCCTCAAAGTGAAGTGTCGTCTCATTATTGGGGGAAGGATTTATTGTATGCTGTTCCAGTTTGACTGCTAGGAGAGTAAACCTATTCGTATGGTTCCTATTCAACTGTCTACAGCATTCATATGCTTGAGAGGATTCATATACTTCTCCGGTTCGGTGGTTGTGGTGTCTGCTGCAGTGCTTGGAGTCCTCAGGAAGCGCTAGGAGCATCCTTTAACGGAGGTACCCAGTCGGGGTGACAGGCGGTCCGTTACAGTCTCCAACTCTTTTAATATTACAAATGGCACACGGCAAGGCTGCCCTCTCTCCCCAGCTCTTTACATTCTAGCATTAGAACCATTGGCCCAAACTATAAGGGACCACAAACTTATCCGAGGAGTGTCAATCAAACATAACCTATATAAACTAACCATGTTTGCGGATGACATTATGTTATCTTTATCTAACCCATTCACTTCTATTCCAGAGATTCAGATCATTTTACAACAATACGGTCAATGTTCTTATTATAAATTGAATACCTTAAAGACGCAAGTCATGTGCCTTGATACACCCATATCATTGTATAATAAGTTGAAACAGGCATATAATTATGAATGGAGCCAGGACAGCCTAACTTTTTTAGGTGTCAAGTTTCCAAAATCAGAAGGTCATTTATATAAAGAAAATTATACTAAAACTCTTACATCAATAAAACAAAAATTGCTGTCCTGGAAGGGGAAATACTTATCTTGGATGGGCAGGATAGCGGCTGTTAAAATTATAATTCTTCCGCAGTTACAATATTTGTTCCATACGCTCCAAATCAAACTCTCCAAACAATTCTTCCAGGAAGCGCAAACTATTATTAACGCTTTGTCTGGAACAATAAGAAACCGCGAACGGCTGCGAATACCATGTATCTAGCATATAGGAATGGGGGAATGGGACTACCGCATATAACCACATATTATAAATCTGCGATTATCGCCCCACTGATTAATGAACTACACCACTTTCACCAGGTATCTCCCTGGGTAGCTTTAGAAGCAGAACTTACAGAGGGACACTCTATAACGCAATTGGCCTGGATACATCCACAATTGAGGAAAAAATATAAAGAAATGTCACCACTTACAGCTATCACTTTGCGGGAATGGGATAAATTCAATACTGAACAAGAACTGGCTAAGACTATCTCTCCAATTTTACTCTTAGATTCCTTCTATGGGCTGATACCCCTAGTGACCATGTCTACCTGGCGAGCCAAGGGACTAACACACCTGAGACAGCTGTTCAGCCGGGGGGAGCTGATACCATTTAGATCCCTTCAACATACTTACCAACTACCCAATTCGGCGGAATTTGCATATAGACAAATCAGTTCCTGGTTGCACAAAAACATGCTACCTACTGGTACTAGATGGGAGTATCTGTCAATAGTAGAAAAATTGTGCACGCAAACCCAAAAAACGCAAAAATTAATATCTTTACTATACAAATTCCATTTTCACCCACAGAATCCACGTGAACTGCCATTTGTTAGAGCATGGGAATCAGAGCTGGGTAGGGAATTAGCATCACATCAGTGGGCTCATATATTATATGCAAACAAGAAACTTACACTCAATGCATCTCATCTGGAACTTACAAGGAAACTGTTATACCGTTGGTACTTGGTTCCCACAAGGCTGAAACACATAAAGCCGCGTGTGCGGGTGTCTGCTGGAGATGTAGAGCCACCTCCGGCACCATGCTTCATATGTGGTGGTCGTGCCCGGCCTTACAGCCACTGTGGACGGATACCCAGTCCTTAATAAGAGATATAACGGGAATTATTTTTGAAAAAACCCCAGAGAATTATCTATTACAATACATGCCACCCAACCTAACAAAAGCATCAAAATATTTAATATACCATATCCTGGTAGTGGTATTGACACTTATCAGTAGACATTGGCAAACACAAAATATTCCTCAGATGAGCCAATGCATAACTTTAATAGACGACACAAGAAAGTATGAGGCAATGGCTAGGTCCACTATGGCCCCACAAAGATTTTGGACACAAGCGTGGACTCAATGGGAAGCGTTCCACAACTCAAATGGGTGAACTCACCCACCCTGTACCCGATAAACCACTGAGACGGTAGATTAAAGATTCAGCCTCTCTTAATTTATTTAGCACACCATGACATGCTAGGGACTAACATTTTTATAGGCTGTCATGACCGTGGCAAGCCTAAGAACTTAAACTTAATGGAGGCCCTCCCACCCTATCCCTCCCCCCCTTTGCTTCTTTTCTGTTCTTCTTTTTCTCTCCCCCCCCGTATTTTACCCAGGTTTGATTGTCCCCCCTCTCCACATGTACATTATACAGGTCTAAGAAGGAGCGGGTCGTTGAAATTTTATTCACTTTGATATTTTATAGATGACCTCTTCTCATTGTTATGCTCAAAGATGAAGGAAATTAGATCCTGCTTATAGATGTAACTAACATGATCAGCATATTTGTGTGTAATACATGTATGACAATACTATTAATTTATCTTTTTGTCTTCATTGTACTGTAACAAACACTATTGAATACTGTATTGTCCAATCGAACTAACACTTTGTTAAAAACCCGCAGTACTTATAACATGCTTTTGTCTATGTACCTGTATAACTTGTCAATAAAAATTAATAAATAGTAAAATAAAAAAAAAATGAAAAAAATAAAAAAAGAGTACAAGACATAGTATTTAATCAAGAGGTGGAATAAATATGAAGAATGGTTAGGGGACAGCCACACAATGCTAATTTTATTCATAGATCAAATGGCAATAGACCAATAAAGGAAGAAAAAGAAGGAGTAGTAAAACAATCTATACCTCCAAGTAGAATTATTCTAGACACTTTGACTTTGAAGAAAACAAACTGTGTGTTTTACCATTGCTGTACCTGTGTGGGAGCCTGTGTTATTGATCCTAGTGTGAGATTACATTTAGGTTACTGTTGTATCTACCTGCTAACTACCACCAGTAGCACTTAAATGACTTTGAGTGTTTTATTTATCCTAGTGTGAGACTGGTGGTTATGGTTACTGCTGTAACTACTGCTAGCCACGGACTCTTAACACCAAGTTTTAGTTTTAGTAAAAAGTTAACAAAAACGTAAATAAGAAATATATATATAAAGTTCCTCTTGCCTAGCAACTGCCAAAATGAAACTCACAAAAACTTAAATAGGAAAATAGCCTGTTCATCCTAGTGGGAGACTGATGTTTATGGTTACGGCTGTTCCTATTGCTAGTAGCCACCAACTTGGAATCCCCAATTTACAGTTTGACAATTATTTTCTTGATATGTATTTGTAGAAAGAAATCTTTTTTTAAAATATTTTTTTCTAAGTGTGTTAGGTCAGCATGTGCTGTGCAGGTGTACAAGCACTGTGCAGGGCATCATTAATGTTACGTCCTACTCCCAAGAAGCAATTGAGAGATCATATGGACAAGGGAAGCAGTTATGTTCCCTAATTCACCATGAGCAGTAGTGCCATGGCCTCTCAAAGTCTGAACACCTGTTCATCCTAATGGGAGACTGGTGGTTTTGGTTAATGTTGTTCCTATTGCTAGTAGCCACCAACTCGGAATCCCCAGTTTAAAGTTTGACAAGTATTTTCTTGTTATGTATTTGTAGAAATATTTTTTTTAAATATTTTTTCTGAGTGTGTTAGGTCAGCATGTGCTGTGCAAGTGTACAAGCACTGTGCAGGGCATCATTAATGTTATGTCCTACTCCCAAGAAGCAATTGAGAGATCATATGAACAAGGGAAGCAGTTATGTTCTCTAAACCACCATGAGCAGTAGTGCCATGGTTTCTCACAGTCTGAACACCTCTTCCACGGCCATGAGGCATGCTGACACATTCAGCCACCACTGCTTCCACCATCACTACCATTGCTGCCACCACCACCACAACCACATTTTGGTAGTATACAGCCTCTGGATAGTGTAATTAGCACTGATGGAGCTAATTACACTATGTCTATTCCCCACAGACATAGCACTTTGTTTTTGAAATTCTTTATTTTTGAATCGGTAATCAGGTGGAGAGACAGATATCATACATTACATTTTGTACATCAGGCGTTCAATAGACACAAACATGTATCTATGACATATTTTGCACAATGTTGCAATTACTTTATATAAACAGTTTACATAAGTTGCACACAGGCAACATGCACTTTAATGTCACCATGCTTTGTTACCGCTCTGCTGCCCCTATTCCCCAGTTCACTTTTCCTTTTTTTTTTTAAATAAACCTTTTCTATTTTTTAAGTAGACGTTAGACAATGGGTTTTACATAAAAAAGCAAAATGTTGTCTTAACATCTCATTACTAAATGACGGTACTCAGATCTACTAACATTCTATTGGAATCTGAGTCTAAATTGGTCTCTTGGCATCTGAATTTGGCGCCACAGTTTGCATTAGAAGAAGGTTAAGGATTCTTATTGTGAGACACGCATTC